CATATGTCCCTGCAAGTTACACAGGATACAGACAGGAGAACGTGCTTTTATGGGTGGGGAGAAACCTGGGGTCAGGTTGTGGGTGAGGAGAGAGGAGGTGGTACTGGAGCAGACCTCATCTTTACTGTACGTGCATCAACAGGGGGCTGTGACACTGTACCAGATTCACACATTGTAACCCTTGTGGACTCTGAATAAAGAGAACCCAGATCTCTCTGAAGTATGCCTTACGACTGAATGGGAATCTACAATTACCCGAAAGTAAAGTTGAACCTGAATTTAAAACAGTTCTCACAAATGAGCTGAGGCAGAGGGCTCAGTCAGCCCTGGCAAGAACTGGCAGCACCAGTGGCACACCAAGCAGCAATCAGGATGAGGTGCCTTAGTGAGCCTCTCAACCTGGGTGGCTGCTCAGACACTGAAGCAATCATTGCTAAAAGCATCTCACTTATCCATTCTCTGCAGATCTCTCTGCCTTGCCTGGCCGGAGGCTGCCCAAGGAGACGGAACACAGTCTAGTCATTGCATCCTGGATGCTGTGGACTCGGTTAATACTGAAGGTGACGTGTCAACAATGCCAAACACCAATGTGAAGCGACAAGACCTCGCAGCCGCAGCTGGTGGGGATGCAAAGCGTTGCAGCCACGCTGGAAGGCAGCTTGGGGGTGTCCTACAAAACTGTACATTAAAAAACCTAGAGAGGGCACACATGCCCCCAACGCCATCATCCCAGCCTAAAGCCTGTGAGCATCTGCCTCAGACCCTGGCATGACTGGGTATCAGGGAATCTAAAGCCCAGAGTTATACAACATGTAAGCTCAAGTGCAGTTGAACCTTTGCCTTCCAACTAAAGATCGGCCCTGCTGCCTATGCTCAGCCTTAGGGACACTGATGCCGACACTTTCCAAGGTCTGGGTTTCAGCAAAAAGGCAGGTCTGAGACGTGATGTTCAGAAATATTCAGTGTGAATCAGGCTCCTAGAAGCAGCAGAGCCTGTTCTAGGCTATAACCATCACTGATCACAGACTGCCTCAAAATCCTGTTGACTTGCACGCGGTGGAGCAGCACACACGACAGAAGCACGCAGACTGGCCTGCACGCCAGGCCGGCATTCAGGCCAGAGTCTGAAGCAAGAGCCCAAGCGCGGAGCGGGATTTGTTTTATGCTCTTACAAAAAGGGGGAAAAAGCTCTATCTAGTGACATAATTTAAATTCCAGACATAGTACCCATTTCAAAGTGAATAATCAAACATTGTACAAAAATGAACAAAGTAAAAAATTAAAGTTTAATCAATAAAAAAAAAACAGGTCACAAATGAAAAAAATTGAATAATTTGGGGGTTACCAGTATATTCATGGGGTTGTGTAAAAATGAGCACAATTTTTAAACATGTTGTTTCTTGGCATCCAAGAGGGGCAGGGAAAGGACTCACTGGATGGGGGGGGCATATGTTACGGACTGGAAGGCTGTGGCCCCCTCAGTCATGTGGTGGCAGCCTAGGGGATGAGTGAATTTGGGGAGTGACTAGAGTTAGACTCTGTCACGAGGCTGGGGCCTCCGTGTCAGAATCAGCACCCATCACAGTGACAGCCACTTCCTCTTCACTCTCCCTCGGGGTAGTGTCTGACCAGCACCTCACCAGCCAGCACCCTGACCTCGGACTTCCAGCCTCCAGAACTACGAAAAGTGAATTTCTGTTGTCCGCAAGTCACCCAGTCCAGGGCACTTTGCTATAGCTGCCTGAACTGACCGAGACAAAAGATGAATAAAAAAATGTCATGAATCACTTCACCTCACTCGCAAGTTTCCTTATTTAGTGGCGCCCCCTGCAGAGCATATTTCTCAGGGTAGTACCCTGACTCAAAAAAACCTGATTTTGGTTTAAAGTATGCACACGCACACACACACACACACAACACAGTCATGTGTGGGCATGCATTCTGCGAAGGTCAGAGTGTAATCATGCCAACCTAGATGACAGTGCCAACCACGCACCTGGCGGTCTACAGGGACTCTGCTTTATTAGCTGTAGACTAAGATGTGTTAAGCAATGCATGACAGGTGTGTGTGTGTACACAGTTGACACTTGAACCACGCAGGGGGTTGGGGCACCTCCCACACAGTCAAAAATTCACATAGGATTTTTGACTGCCCCAAACCATACCCACTACTAGCCAGCTGTTGGCTAGACGCCTCTAGATAGCGGTAGTTAACATGGATTTTGTATGTCGCATGCACATGTATTATTACAGACTATATTCTCACAATAAAGTTAAAGAAAACATTAAAAAAATTATAAGGAAAATAAATTTACAGTACTGTACTGCCTTTACCGGCATCATTAAGTTTACACCACTGTTTACAAGAAAATCCGTGTATAAGTGGAATTGTGTAGTTCAAACTCCTGTTGTTCAAGGATCAACTGCATGTATTTTACATATATGTGCTCTCACAGCTACAAACCTAAACAGTAAACAACACAACTACTAACAACTCATCAGGATGCTGAATACATATTTAGACTGTTAGAACAGGGTCTGCAAACTAGAGCCACTTGTCTTTATAAAGTTTTACTGTGTACTGCTAAACCCATGGATCATCTGTAACTGCTTCTGAGCCACAAAAGCAGAGCTGAATACTACTCACAGACACCATCTAGCCCAAAAAGTCAAAACAACTGCTATCTGGCCCTGGACAAGCCAAGTGTGCCCTCCAACCAGCCCACCCCTGCAGCGTGGACAGGCTGTGCCGTCCTTGGGCAACAAGTCTCAGCTTGGTGCTCCCTCCCAGGCCCCAACTATAGCTCTGACCCATGCAGGGAGGGTTTCCCCGGGGTTGGGACCAGAGCTAGAGAACTTCCAACTCTGAGGAAGGCCTCTTCTGCCTAGTCAGGTGTCACTGAGCATGGGTCAAATTTCAGGATCTTGCCCTTAAAGGCCCACAGCAGTCTCCCCGATGCCACACTAACAGCCTGGTCCATTCTCTCAGTTGCCCAAGCGAGTTTTCTTAAACATAGGTCATAGTGTGTCACTACTATGTGCAAATCATACTGAAACTAAGCACAAATCCCACACTCCTGGTGCTGAATTGAATGTCCAGATGCCAAGGCTTCCAGTCTCAGCTCCACGCCCTCCCTCTCTCCCACCATGCTCGCCCTATCACCTCACTAGGCCATAAAATATAGCAGGAATGGTTATGCCCAAGACCTCTGTGTTGGCTGTGCTTGTGCTTAGGGCACTGTTCAGCACAGACACATACGATGTTCAACCCCTTACATGGCTATCAATTCACCATACATAGAAGGGAGTATTATTACCCAGCCGCATAATGAGGGGGGGATTCTGGGCCGCCCTGGTGGCGCAGGTGGTTTAGCGCAGCGCTGCAAAGCTGTCTGCAGCCTCTACAGTGCCGGTTTGATCCCCAGTGGCTGGGGAGATACCCACATGGCGTGGCAGACCTCTCATGTCTCGCTCTCTGTTCCCCTCAGCAGTGTATTTTGGTCGGTCTGCCTATTCTGTTTCCCACTCTGGTGAATCCTCTCACCCTCCCACACATTGGCCTGTGCCCCCGTTCTTGTATGCATGAATAAATAAAAAATCTCTAAAAAATATATAAATGAAAAACTAGAATTAAAAAAAAGGGGGGGTGGAATTCTGACACATGCTGTAATGCTGTAATGTGATCGGGACATTATGCTCAGTGAAAGGCAGGCTCAGAAGGACAAATACCACATGACCCCATTAATATGAGGTCCCTAAAGGAGTCCCAGTCCACAGAGACAGGAAGTAGGGGATGGGTGTCAGGCCTGGGGGCCACTGTTCAATGGGACAGAGCTTCAATTTAGGAAAATGAGAAATTTCTCAAGGGGGAGATGATGGTTGCACAAGATTGTGAATGTTCAAGTGCACTGAGCTGTGCACTTGAATAGGGTTACTAGGTTTTGTTACATATTATTTTACCCCCCACACCCAGAGAGGCAAAATAGAGAAGGATTTGACAAACATTTCTTGCAAAGGGCCAGACAATAACTATTTTCGGCTTTCTGAGCCACATGGCCTCTCCTCCCTCCTCCTTTGCTCTTGTAGCACAAAGGCAGCCACAGAGGGCCTTCCTGGTGGCCTAGGGGATAAGTCTCAGTGCTATCACCAGGACGGCCCACCAAGACAGCCTGAGTTCAACCCCCAGCCAGAGAGTTAACCCCCATATGAAGCAACAGAGCTCTTCTGTCTCGACTGCTGCTCCCCTCAACAGTGTATTTCATTCAATCTGCCTGTCCAGCTCCCCACTCTGTCTCTGGTGAATCTTTTCACCCCACCCACCCCCACCCCTTGATCCTCTGCCTATACCCCAGTTCTTCTACACAAAAATAAATAATTTAAAACAAAAAAGCCACAAAGAATCAGTGAGCAGGTGTGCATGGCTATGTGTCAATAAAACTTTTCTTGCCAAAATGGGTAGGGACGGTCAGATCTGGCCTATGGACTGTAGCCTGCTGACCCCCAAGGTGGTAGTTTATTTTTGCATGTGCTTTTGATTAAGCACAGGATGACCTTGGAAGGTAATGGAAACAGTGAAGTCTCCAAAAAGAAAAGAACTAAGTAACTAGGGAATAGAGAAACAGAGTGTTCAGCGGGTGGCCTTCCATACATTGTCAATTTTGACACATCTGAACTTACTATTTGTTAAACTGAAAACAACAAATAAAGAGAATAAGGAAGCCTGAAATCTCTCCCCTTCCTGGAGCTCAGAAATGATACCACAGGCAGAGTGGGGTGTGAGGTGGTCAGTCTCAGATTACCAAAAAAAAAAAAAGTGTTCACCAATAAGAACAGGAAGTGGGGACACCAGGGGGAGGGCAGGAAGGCTGCAGGAGGCTAAAGGTTTGAGCAGAGGGGCCCACGAGTCAAAAATCCCAAGCCTGATATCATGAGCTCCACTCTTGCACCCGATCATGATGTCACTCCCTTGATCTCACTCGCCCAGTCATGACGTCACTCACCCGATCATGACATTGGCCACCAGTTCCCTCGCTGTCCGGGTTTCGCGCTTCCGTGTGATCTTGGCGTCGTACCAGAAGCCACGCTCCTTGGGGTTGTCAGGATTGTAGTTAAGCATGACCACCTGGCCCACTTCCAGATCCTGCCACTTGAGGACATGCCGTGCACGGGCCCGAACGTCCCGGGAGCTCATCTGTACCACTCCATTCTCCGGGTAGCTGTGAGGAAAATCCCCTCCTCAGTGCCCATGGGAGACAGAAGCCTTGGGAAGAGGCCACAGCGCCAAGGTATGGGTCGTTACCATTACAACAGCACTTACAGTCCCACCCAAGTGACCCTGTTCGCTGATGTGAAATATACAGGCAGAGAAGACATGTTCCAGGTACAGAAGGCATTGTGGGTGAAGGATGTCCCCTAAAAAGATACCCATACCGTGAATGACACCCTTAGAAATAGGATCTTTACAAATGTAAACAAGATGAGGTCACACTTGGGTGTGACCTTGAATTCAATGACAGGTGTCTTTATAAGCAGGAATGAGACAGGAGACTGGCGTGATATGGCCACAGTCAAGGATGGATGGCTTCCACCAGGAGCTGGAAGAGGGAGGAAGGATGCTCCCTTGTAGGTTTTAGAAGATCATGGCCTTGATTTTGGACTTCAGACCTTCAGAACTGCTCAAGAACAAACTTCCATTGTAACTTCTGCTAGTACTTTGTCAAGCCAGCCCTAGGGAGTATACAAGGACTCCTGGGGCCTGAAAGCATTTTCACAAGTACTGAGCGTGATCTTGCAGAGATCACATATTGTTTCATTTACATAAATGCAACAAACTAGATATTAGAATACAGTAAGTGATTATGTTGGATGTGTAGGGATATCCCAGCAGTCTCAACAAAAGGCATAAAATAATTGGGCTTAAACTTTTTGGAGTAACCAAAATAGTCTATGTGTTAAATGAAAAATAATTGGGCTAAGAAAAAAATTCTACCAACAAAGTTAAATCTCAACTGTAAGGAGAACAACCCTCCATCCATGATGACTGGCAGTTATTATTTTCACTATTGAGCTACCAAGAACAAGGAGTTGCCAAACTTATTCCGAGAAGGGCCAGAGAGTCTTTTTGGCTCTGTGAGCTGGTAAGGCTCTGTCACAAATATTCACTCTGCTGCCGAAGAAAGCAGCAGCTCCTGACAATATGTAAACATGATGATTCAAGAAGTTTTATTTGCGAAAACAGCCAGCAGGCTGAATTTGGTCTAAGGGCCAGAGCTTGCAACCCCTAATCAAGAAGATGTGAACCTTGCAACCACTAGGATTCATTCATCAAATTACTCTAGTAATTTCTACAGAGCTAGGCTGAGGATGGGTCAGAAGCTGGTCTAGGCAGTAGGGCCTTAGAAAGGAATCAGATAAAGCCTCTGCACCCCTAGGATGGGCTTGCCCTTTGTTATGGACTGAACTGTACCCTCCCCCTCCCACTCATCCCCCAAATCCATGTGTTGATCCCTAACACCCAATATGGCGATATTTGGAGAGGACCTTTAAGGAGGTAATTAAAGAGACATGAGGTCATATGAGTGGGGTCCCATTTGATGGGTCTGGTGTCCTTATAAGAGGAAAACACACCAGAGTGCCCTAGCTCTCCCCCACTCTCTTTCTGTGAGCACAGAGGAAAGGACATCTGAGGACACAGTGAAGAGGCAGCCATTGCTACCAGCAAGAGCTCTCACCAGGAGCCAACCCTGCCAGCACCTTAATCTCAGGCTGTGGTATCATTATAGCGGCAAAGCTAAGATACCCTGTGCCCAGCGGGGGCTCATGGCAGTGGCAAACTCCAGACCCCCACACACACAGCCCACACCCTATGGCCCCCCCTCCCCCGCCTGCCCTGACACTCACTCGTCGTATTTCACGTGATAAATGACGTCTTCCTCTGGCATTGAGGTGGAGCTGCAGGGCTCGTCCTGGGACAGCCCCTTCCTTGTCACCCTGACAACCTGTGCCTCGAACCAGGCTCCCATGTTTGTATCCCGGGCGTCCACATACTCGTTGACCTGGTAGGAACAGAAACTCTCTCATCTAACCCTGGGAGGAAGAGCTGATGGGCAAAACTGACAAAAGCTGGTTGGATCCTGGGGTGCTGGATGTGTCAGGACAGGGGTTTTTGGGCTGTGGTATGGCTGACATGGGGTCTTAATGGTTCTCTAAGGGGGATATCCTGGGCACTGTGGGGTGCTAAGCAGCATCTGGGCCCCTACCCACTCAATGCCAGGAGCACCCCTAGTCATGATAACCACACCTCTCTCCAGACTTTGCCCAGTCTCCCTGGGGAGCTAAGTTGCCCCAGGTGAGAACCGCCATGTATGCAAAATCAGATTGAAGCACATAGGCTCCAGCAGCAGCTGCTCCATGGCTGGAGGCCAGAACGGCCCGTTTTTCTTTTTTTTCTTTTTTAAAGATTTATTTTATTTATACAAGAACCGGGGTTCAGGCCAGATGCGTGGGAGGGTGAGAGGATCCACCAGAGACAGAGCAGGGAACAGAACAAGCAGACTGACAAAATACACTGCTGAGGGGAGCAGCGGGCGAGACAGGAGAGGTCTGCTCGCCATGTGGGTTGCTCCGAGGCTGGCCAGGATCAAACCGGCAATGCCAAGGCTGCGGACAGTTTCACAGCACTGCGCTCAACCACCTGCACCACCAGGGAGGCCCAGAAAGGCCTGTTTTTCAAGAGAAGCTGGCAATTCAGATCTTTAGGTAAAATGTCCTGACCTTAAGAATTAAGAAGGTGGTTGTAAATTTAGAAATTTTGCAGCTACTGAGAAAGTCGCCAGATGGTGACAAGTCCTGACACAGGCTCTGCTTTAAGGATCACAGAGCATCCCTGCAAGTCTGAATTTCTACCAAGGAACGTGGTCACTGGAAATTTTCAGAGCAGAATTGGGGGTGCCCAGGAATAGGGGGCAAGCCTACCCTTACAGCCTGGTGTCTGGGAAGCCAGCAATGATAGGGGGTGGGGGCAAAGAAATACAAACACCAGCCAGGAAGCGCGGCGAGCCCCAGACTTCCATGGGAGGCTCACCTTGTACAGACCCAGCTCCGTCTCTCCCCAAGCTTCTTCATCTGCCAAGCCTGCCTTCCCATCCATCTCGGAGGCTGCCTCCCCACTGTTGGAGGACTTGTCTGACTCGCTCTGGCCCAGGCAGCAGCCAGAATCCGTGTCGGACACAGTGTCGGAGAGCTCAGAGTCCTTCTCCCTGCTGCTGCTGCTGCTGGGGGGCAGCACGAGGCTCTGCCGCACCAGGAGCTGGATGGTGTCATTCAGGCGGACGTCATAGTCGAAGAGCGTGTGGCCGTCCTCCATCTGCGAGGATACCGAGACGGAAGTCACTCACCGCCCCCCCAGATGCTGAGCATGTGTCTCCTGGGGCCAGGCAGTAGGAACACACCATGACAGAGGACCAACCTGTCCTCACCAAGGGACAGACTAGCCTGACATAGAATGCCCAGGCCACCACCAGGCCAGGTCACAGCTTCCTGCAGGGTGCCCCATTTGGATGAGAACTCCTGGTGGCACAGCTGTGTCCCTGTGAGAGCAGAACATCGTTCCTTGTCAGAAGCCAGGGAGGTTTTCTTATAACTTTATGTTTTGTATTTTATATGTTTACTTCCCTTACAATGCACATGTGCCGCCTTATCACTGCACTCAATCAGGGGTACTTCTGACCCCCAGGGGATACTGGGCCATGTAAAGGGACATTTGCGGTTGTCCTGACCTGGGGGATGGGGTGTTCCTGGCACTGAGTCGGGGGGAGAGGGTCATCAGGGGTGCTACTCAACATGCCGCAGTGCCCAGGACTCCCCCTTGCCCAGGATGCCCCCACCCTGATTCATCCAGCTCGAAATGTCTGTCGTGTCAAGGTAGGGAGAGGCTGTGCTGATTACTCAGAAAAAAGAAGGAGTCTGAGGCCTGCTCACACCAGACACCACAATAAATCCCAGCTGGGGCAGACAGTGTAGACCAATGACAGCCCCCGCCCCGGCATGTATTTAAATGTGGGCAGCATCCCAGGATCCCGGGAGATCAGAGGACAGTGGAATATGGATCTCCTAGGGTCAGTGGAATCCCCTAACCCAGGCTGATTCTACCTCCCAGGGGACACTGGGCAATGTCTGGGGACCTTTTTGGAGGGGGCGTCCCAAATGTTCTGGCATCAACAGGGTGGGGGCCAAGAATGCTGCTTAGCCCCCTCCAGTGCCTGGGATGGCTCCAAATACTGGCAGGGCTGAGGGGGTAGACGCTGACCTACATGAACCCACAGAGACAGTTTCTTCTGTAAGACTAGATCAAATCTTACCCTCCCAGTGTAGCTTCTGGAACCATTAACTTCCCCCTCTCTTTTAACTCCTTTATCTCATCCCACCTACACCAGCTGCCGGCTGACAAGTCTGTGTGCGGGCGCAGAGCAACAATTCCTCAGTGTGATTTGGCAGGTGTGCACAAAGGAGTTTGTCATCTGAGCCACATCCTGGTGGCACAAAAGACCGAGAAGTTACCTTTGATTAGAAACTGTCCGTGGCAAACTGCCAACACCCAACAAGGAGCCACAGTGCATGCTGCTCTGTCCAGACACCCCAAGACAAGTCTCTCCCCCTCGACACTGTGGGGGTGTTAGCAGTCTCCCTAGCCCCCACCCACTGGATGCACCCCCAATCATGATCACCACAGATGTCCCCAGACGTGGCCCCGTGTTTTCCCAGGGCAGAACCACCTGTTTGGTAAGCTGTGCCCCAAAAAAAAGGGGAAGAGAGAGGCAAACATGCACACATGGTCAGCGCTCCCTTTTTCCTAAAGTTTACCACAAGCATGCAGTTCCATGACCCGGTTGCCCTTAGTATGTGAATAGCCTCCAGGCTCACAGGAAAAGTTGGTTCCAGGTCTAAGGTCCTTCACTGTAATATTTGCTATAACTTATTAATGAGAAACCTGAGGATCTGATAAAGAATGACCTTGTCCCCCCACCGCCTGGAAAATTGCATTTGAACAGGTCCACACTTATTTACAGCTGCTGGGGCTTCAGGGCTCCTCTGAACCCCACCCTGGACATCCAGGGCCCCCAGCATGAAGTGTGCAACTCTCACGTGCTTGCACTATCTGGGTGCCTCAGGGACATGGCGGGCGAGACACAGCCCTCAGCGCAGGCCCCACAGGACAGCTGGTGCAGGTGACCAGACGAGAAGGGAGAGACAAGTCAACCTGCACACACGTGTCACAGCAGCGTACGTCATATAGTCAAAAGGCGGAAATAGCCCCCGTGTCTATTAATGAATAAACAAGACTCACACGTGTCCCCACACATGAGAACATTACTGGCCTTGAAAGGGGGGCAGCTTCAACGCTGGCTACCACAGGGAGGGACCTTGAACACAACACAATGCTCAGAAAGAGAAGCCAGACACAGAGTGTGGGTCCACTGATGTGAAATGTCCAGAACAGGCACAGCCACAGATGTAGGAAGTGGGTTCACGGTTCCTTAAGGTAAGGCAGGATGGGGAACAGGGAAGTGAAAGCTGAAAGGTAAGATGTTTCCTTTGGAAGTGATGAAAATGTCCTAAAACTGACTAGTGACTGTACTGGAAAACCGCTGAAGTGTGCACTTTAAAAGGGTGAATTGTATGATACACGAATTGTTTCTCCGTAAAGCTTCACTAAAAAGAAAGTACTCCAAAAGAAGGCACCGTAGTTTGTCACTCCAACTCTAGGACATCCCGAAAAAGGCAAAACTATGGAGAAAGGAAAGGGATCAGTGGTTGCCAAGGATTAGGGGAGGGATAAATAGGCAGAGATCAGGGGGTCTGGGGGGGACATGAAACTACTGGGTACGATACTGTCCACATTTAGCATTTGTCCAAACCCAGAGAATATACAGAACCAAGAGTGAGCCTGAAACTAACCTACTGACTCTGGGTGACCACAACATGCCTGCAGATTCAGAGGACACCAAACCTCCCCTCTGGTGCAAGGGTCGCCGGCTGGGGGAAGCCATGAGTCTACAGGTCAGTGGGGAGGTGGGAATCCTCTGTAACCTCCTCTTAGTGTTGCTGTGACCCTAAAACTGCTCTAAAAGATGAAGCTTATTAGTTTTAAAGAAAAAGAGGGCGCGAGATTAGGGTTCCCAGTTCAGCAGTGACAGGGAAACCAGCCGAGGGCAAGTCAAATGGCAGTAAAAAGGATGAAGGAGATGCTGGCACTCTGGAGCCTGGCACCTCAGTTAGGCAACACCCCCTAGCACTACAAGCAGTGGGTCATTCTTGTGGGGAGTCATCCTGGACACTGTGCAGTGCTGAGCAACATCCATGGTCCCCCACCCACTGGATGCCAAGTGCACCCCCAGTTGTGACAAGTGCATATGTCCCAGACATCACTTGTGTCTACACATCACCCAGGACCCAAATGGCCCAGTGAGAACCTCCCAGTTAGAGCAAGGCCCACAAGTGTCCAGAGGAACATGGCCACTGACACTCGTATGGCCACAGCAACATGATTTGCATGCAAAACTTGACTCATTCATGCCAAGGAATAGGACACAGATGCAGTCACAGCTGAGCACAGCAGAGCAGATATATCTCACACTCAGTGTCAAGGTAATAGGATGATTTCAGAGGTCAGGAAATAAACAAAGCCAGCAGGGCCTCCGAGGCAGGGGAGGTTGTGGCCAGAAGGGAGCACATGGTGAGAAGTTCTGTTTTACAAAGAGCCTACAACTGAAGGCGGTCGAGGCAGGGCTATGGGGAGTGGTGGGGGCAGAGGACAGGAGTGTGTGACCTAAGGGGAGGAGAAAGGACCAGAATAGCAGTTAGGGATGCAGAGAGCAAGGAAGGATAAGGATGAGGCTAAGGTTGAGCCAGAGGAGCCCTGGCGTGCAGTGGTGGGAGGAAGCCTGGTGGAGCAGTAGCAGAGCTAGGCTATGGCACCCCACTGCTCTTCTCCCTTGGTATATCCTTTTTTTTTAAGATTTATTTATTTATACAAGAATCGGGGTACAGGCCAGATTGCATGGGAGGGTGAAAGGATTCACCAGAGATAAAGTGGGGAACAGAACAGGCAGACTGACGAAATACACTGCTGAGGGGAGCAGCAGGCGAGGCAGGAGAGGTCTGCTGTACCACGTGGGATTCTCACCAGCTGGCCGGATTAAACCCGCACTGCAGAGGCTGCGGACAGCTTCACAATGTGGCGCTCAACCGCCTGAGCCACCAGGGAGGCCCCAGTGGTATATTCTAGTGACAACACCTCCCTCCTGTTAAAGCCCCTTGCTGGGCATGACCAGGGCATCACATTCAAGATGGGGCAGGAATGAGGCTCAGAGAAGCTTACAGGCTTGCTCAGGCCTGGGCTGAGTCTCTGGTACTATAACAGGGTAGTCCCCAGGAAAGGGGTAGTTCCAGGTTCCCTGCCCCACCCAAAGGAGGGTGGAGCTAAAGAGAAGCAGCAGCTGGAAAAGGGACTGAAGAAGGAAGGAAGCTGGATGGAGACCTAGAGGAGGCACAAGGAGAAGAGAGACATGTGAAGAAACTGCGCTTGCCTTTTGGTCATGGACTGGGTGACATAGATGTGAGTGAGAGACCCATGGGGAGGTGACAATGGCAACTTTTATCTTGATTTTGATTTTGCTCTTTTTCTCCCAGACTTGTCTGGTTGTTTCTGATCCTTTTCCGTGGGTCCTCACTGAAAGGTGCTTTAGACTTGTGGCAGGCTTTCGGGCCTTGCTCTGGGCCAATCCTGTTTGGGTGGACTTTTCCCCACGAAGGGACGGGTAACTGAGGGTGCTTGATTTAGAAACTATATTCTTTGCCTTTCCTATATTGTTTACTAATTGTACTTAAGTTCCTCTTCATTAAAGTCCCATATGTTTTTGTGTTGATGCAGTGGATGGCAGAACCTATTTAGAGCAGGCAGGTTTGCAGGGTCTGGGGTGCCCCTCTCCCTGCTCTGTAACAGTACAAGGGTGCAGACATAAGGAGGCCAGGGGCAGGGAAGAGGAATGCTGGGTAGGCAGGCCAGGGTGGCACGGAGCTCTACCTCCAAAACGTATTTGCAAGCTGGTCAGTTTCTGGAACTTTCCAGAAGGGCCTCACAATCAGCAGAAAGACACTTACACACTGTTTGCTGTTGTACAACCGCTCTGGAGTCATGGAGAGGGAAGTGGGGCCGAGCGCTACCCCACAGAATGAGTCTAGTGAGCCTGGGTTCATCATCAAGATCCTAAAATCCAAATCCATGATCCTAAAATTCAACTCATGAAAACTGTAAAAACTGCATGACTCCTCAGGTTAGAGGTTCCAGTGTTAAAATTAAATCTCAAGTTAAAATCCCATAGAACCAAAACTGTCATTGAAAATACCTTGAATTGTCTGTAGTGGTGGTTCCACTACACATAGGTGGCTCAAAGCAGATAACCCTGTACAGCAGATTCAGGCCTAAAAGGAAGTGAGAAATCACGTTGCCTCTTCTGGGTGTGCAGGCCCAGTCCCCAAACTCCCCATCTGGGTCTCAGACTTTCCAACCCACCTCAGGTGCAAACAAGACAGATGGAGACAAAGAGAAGAAAACACATGGAGTCAGATCATGGATGTGACAAGAGACGCAGCGTCCTGCTCGGAGGAGTCAACGAGTGGACAGCACTGCACACGGAAAGGCGGCCCTCACCACAACCCAGCCCTTGCGGATGCCAGGGGACAAGCTGACGGTGACAACTGAAGCCTGCCCAGGGGCACTGTGGGATAGGCCCTATATTTGGGGCATGGGGGTGTCTGTGAGGCCGTGATATCACTGGCTATTTTTGCTCTTGGGGTCTCATAGGGTACATGTGCCTTTGGGACCTGAACCTCTAGGATGAAACCACGTTCTGATGCCCAAGGGCACACGCACGTGTATATTCTCAGACTAAGTTTTTCTCAGTTTTCAACATCTAATATAATAAAATTCAATAGATGTAGTCTACATCAACAAAAGCTCTTTGGGGATCTCAATCCTATTAGGAGCTTGGAAAGATGTCCTAAGACCAAATGGTTTAAGCTCCCTGCCCTGGAAGAATTCTCGCACCAGTTCCCTAGGGGTGATGGTCTAGCACATTTCACAGCAGCCTGAACAGTGAAACCTGGATGTACCAACCAGAGAGGCTGAATTAAAGCATGGAGTCTAATCAGCATCCCGACAGCCAGCACGAAGGTTCTGGCCTGTTTTTGTAAATAAAGTTTTACTGGAACATACACCGGAACATTTCCATTCATTTGCGTGCCGTCCAGCTCCCCTGGCAGAAGTGAACAGTCCCAATTGCAGGGTCCACACTGGGCCCTACACAGAAAGGGTTTGCTGACTCCTGGCTGAAAAGACATGACTTCCAGCTGGGAGCTGCCGAAGGAAGGAAACCCTCACTCCTGCAACCTGAAGGACTGGTCTCTGGAAAGGGCTGTCATAGTTGACACCTGACTCTGCCCTTGGGCGAAACAGGAATAGGAATACAGGAAAAGCCAACGCAGCAGGACCGTTTGATTGTGGCACCTGTGACGTGAGTGGCCGGTGCAAGACACCATTTCAAGGATCTATCAGATGCACCATAACAGATTTAACTGTTTTCCTAAAATGAGTTATCTACCAAATTAAATCAACTGGGTGTGATCCTGCCCCCACCACCAGGAAATATCTGGGGACATTTACTTCTCTCACACTGGGGCTCCTGGCATCAAGTGGGTGGAGGCAAAAGATGGTACTCATACCCCACAGTGCCAAGGATGGAATGCATAGAGATTGATTTGGCCCGATATCCTCAATGCCAGCCGTGCTGAGGGGGCAGGGAGCCTGAGCTAGCTGATATACTGCACCTTTATTTCGAGTCAGACATGGGGCTCAGCTCGTAGCCTCTGTCACCTCCTGAATTCTCACTGTGCTGCAATGTGGTGGGTCCACAGTTAGCCCTGTTTGATGTGAGAGCACGGAGACAGCCACCAGCCTTGGCCAGGGGACCAGAGATTATGCAAAGTGCAAAACATTGTACCTGGGCGGGTTAAGAACACCACAAATGACAGCGATTGTGATTTTTATGGACGGCCAAAGGAAAAAAAGGCACCAGATGCCTCGCGCCTTTGCCCAGGCTGGGCCTGCCGCCCGAAGTCCCTTCCCCCACCGGCTCCCTGCATTTCCGCCAATCAAGCAACATAACCGCCAAGCTATTCAGCCTAAACCAGGCAGCCATGAAACCCTCCCATATCCTGAAGACTCAACTAGGTTCTGCTTTATCATCTCTAGCAACCTCGCTATAGACCTTGAACTGCAACGCCGTTTCTTTAAAAAGGAAACAAAGAGAGGAGAGTGGATCTCTCGAAGATTCTGCAGAAACAAGAGCTCTGCTGCACCCACTGGAAATGCACTATGTTCTGTAACTGCTGTCCCGGTCTGTTTGCAGACTTTACTGGCTTCTGGCTGCCGCAGTGTGCCTGTCCCTCCCCCCCACCCCACCCTTCTGTCAAGGTCCGCACCTCCCAGTAGCTGGCCACTTCCTTGACAAGCAACCTGGGGAAATTGCATCACGCTGAGGAGGCCTGGCTTCCTTACCCGGAAGACAGAAACAACTGCAGATTCCCTCACGGAGCTGTCGGATGGGGAGAGGGCACTGCGCACGGGGGGAAGTGAGCAGCAGCTACGGAGGTTACCTGGGCTTGCAGAGCCTTCTGGTGACTATGAGAGCAGAACTGGGAGAAGAAAGGCAGTGTTCAGAGTTTAGCCTCTGAGAGCAGAATTCCCGTTCAAATCCTGGCTTCCTCTAAGGGCAGACAGCTCCACCAGAGCTCCACCCAGGCTTCATCCTGCCTGTTATGGCAGGCACAGGAGGCTAACGCATAACGCATTCAGGCGTCCCTACCATCGTCACACTCTGTAACTGAGATGTTGTCAACCAAGCCGTGTATGGATCAAATATTACTTGACAGAGAAGACCCAGGAGGGTTGGTTACACAGGTGTAGACATTTGTCCAAACTCCAAATGGCCTGCTTAAGATATATGTTTCATTATATACAAATTTTAGCTAAAATTAATGGCAAGCATGCTGAAGTACTTAAGGGTGACAGGAAGTGTGTCTGCACCTTGCTTTGAAAAGCACCCCCAAAAATAAAGGCTGGAGGACAGATAAAGGACATGAAAAGAGCCACATGAAAAGCAAATGCAGCAAAATGTCAGCAGGTAGGTGTTTGGGTATAAACTCTTCTGGACATATGAAATGGCAAAATTAAAATGTTAGCAGAGCACCTGACACATAGCAGACACTCAAAACTGTTCAGTCCCTTGAACTTGAGGATTCCAATTGACCAATCTTTGAACGACGTGATGAACTTAGGCAGAAACAGATTTCCAGAAAATCTTTAAAAGAGGACCTTCTGCCGAACAAATAGACTGGCAAATAAAAATCAATTTGGATGCCACAAAAATGAACCACCACAAGAGGCACTCCGCTAACAAGCTCGCCTTTCTTCTCTATGGGCATGCAACTGCACAGCCAAATAAACCCTGAAGTTCGAAGGACCAGCTTCCTCTCCCTAAGCAGGGTGGGTAAACTCAGATTCTTAAGACATTCAAGTCATCATATCTTTCAAAGGAAGGAGGCTAAAGCCAAGAAATTAATCATGAGGTCTCGTTTCAAGTAAGCACATGGGATGTTCCCAGCCCCCCAAAAACCTAGCCAAGTGCAGAGCATTTATTTTTCCTTCTAGACACCAGATGGCAGCAGTACCCAGTTCAAAATTCGACAACAACAAAGTCCCGCACACGCAGCCCAACTGAAGACTTTTTTAATCGGGTATAATCTCTATACCGCTGTCCCTATAATCCAGCAAACTCCAGGATGGCCCCGGCGGATGGGACTGATACTTGCTGTCATACAATCTTATCCCATCCAGGGAAATTCCACTCAGATTATATCCCACTGTCCACCCAAAAACATCAATGAAAATAAAATAAAAACCCTTCCCCGACCCTGCCACTGGCGAAAGCAGTGGGCAACTGAAAAAAAAGCAAGGTGGCCATTTTAAACGTTACAAGGGGCCGGGGAGAGCACGCACCAAGAAATAAGACAGAGGAGTCGGGCCAGCAGACCCCGCGGAAAGCAGAAGCCCCTGTTCACGGGCAGCCCTGCTGGAGAGCGGGCCAGAGTGGCGGAAATTCCTGATTTGCAAGCACCATCTCCAGACTCTGAATGAGCTGATCTAAATTTCTAGAAAACAGACTCCGTGAGAACACAGGGCTATCGGACCAGTCCCTCTGTGCTAGTAGTTGAGTCATGATTCTAGAGGCTCTTCCTTGAAATTCATCAACCCTATGCTAGTCACCAACTTCTTTTTCTAGAAATTGAGGAGGGGGAGGGTCGCGGGTCGGGAGCTTAAAAAAATGGGGGGAGGGATGGTTTATTAGCACAAATGCTACAGATTCCAATGCCAGCTGCCTGCCCGGTGTGTCAATCCGAGAGTCAGTTCTTTGTTCCTCACTCAGGCATTTGAGGTTTCTGTGGAGACGTGAAGCATACCGGACAAGGGGGGAGAGTGTATTTGCTGGTGGCCGCCTGGCCGAGCCAAGAACAAAGGTGCTGGGCGGGCGGGCAGCCGGCAGGGCTGGTTTACCTGCTTGCCCCTGTAGAAAAGCCTCTGAAGGCCTGGCTCCACGTGGAACAGCTCCTGGATCTTTCTCCTCAGCTCTTCCACTTTGGTCAGCCTGGACAGTGAGTCCACAGTGTGGGTCACCTTCCCATCCATGGTACGAACCTGGATCCACATGGTGTCTGCTGGTGCTGAGGGAGAGAGCAGAACCCCTGGGTCAGTTCTGCCAGTCACCACACCAGTCATGCCAAACTCTGCTCATCCCTGCTTTTGTCCAGTCTGTGGATACCAGGAAATTCCCGAAAGGGCCCCCCAACCCCTTAGGCCCTACTGACTGCGAGCGCTGGCTGCGGGCCTGGCGGACTCAGTTAAGGCGTTAATGCATTAATGACTAGCCGCTGGAGGATTGAGGAGGGAGATGCAATTAGGGGGAGGCAAAGGCATCTCCAACTGTTCAATCAAATCCTAGCCGCCCCCACCCCGGACCCCCGCCCCGGCTTTTCAGAGGGGAACAAACACCAAAGTACAGCGAAGTAGGCGGACACCGTCCAGCGGTGAGTGGCCGAGTTCGTTCATTCATTCATTCATTCATTCCCCGATGAATGCTGACGCGAGAAAAAACTAAAAGTCCGGCTCGGCTTGGAACTTCACAAGTCCCAGGGGAACTCAACTAAGTATGACCAAGGAGGGGGACCTCATCGGAAACTCGCCACCCCCGGACCCCTCGGCGCTGGAGGCCCCCTGCCACCCCCGCGCGCGCGTGCGCGACGGGGGCGGCCCCGCGGTGGCCATAGCAACCGGCCGCCCCGTCCCGGCCACCCCCGCGCGCGTCGCGCAACTCACCGCAGTCCCACGGAGGCCCCGCGCGTCGGCTCCCTTTCCCCGGACCCCAACCCACGGCCCCAGAGCCCCTCTTATACGCCCTCCCGCCAGTGCAGGCCACGCCAGCCAGCCCACGCCCACCCCCACCACAGGGACCGGCCCAGGGGCCCCGCGCGCCAAGTCCCGCCCCCCTTCACTTGAGCCCAACAGCTCATTGGCTTCGCCGCGCCCGGCCGCCCCGCCCCGCGCGCTTCCCATTGGCGCAGACGTGCCCGGGGAACGAAGGGCGCGCGAAATCGGGCCCGGGCGCGACAATTGAATCGCGGGGCGCCCCGCGCGCAGGCGCGGAGCCTGACATCCTCCCCCGCGGCTCGCCGGGCCCTCCCCCACAGGGCCGGCGCGACCCCCGCGGCGCCCCGGGCGTGCTCGGCTGGCCCTCGCCGGGCCGGGGGTGCCGGGGCTGCGCGCAACGGCCGGCGGGGAGGAGCGCCGAGCCCGAGGACAGGGCGGGCGGCCCCGCGCGGGGCAGGCGTGCGCCCACACTGGCCACGCGCCGGGCCGGCTCCAGAAAGTTTTGCGAACTCTCCGCCCCGGCGCGCCGGGTCCTCCCGGGCCGGGCTGGCACCGCGATCCTCCGGGCCGCTCACCTTTCCGGCCGCCCTGATCCACTCGCCTGCCTGCGCGCCTTGCCCGGCTGGGATGGTGATGGAGCCGCGAACGTGGCCCGGGCCCGCGAGGACGTGCTGGTACCGGAGCGCCTGGACAGCCTGCACTGCCCCCCGCGCCGCCGGCTGCTCTGATTTTTTTTCCCGCGAAAACTCGGCGTTTGGGAGTTGCGGGGCCGCGGGAGGCCGTGCCAGGGGCGGGTGTCTGCCTGGTGATTGGCCGTCACAGTGGCGGGAAGCGAGAAAGGGGGTGGGGGGCGCCCCCGCCTCTGTCCACCCCCCCTCCGCCCAGCGGGCCAGGGCCCCGCCCAGCACTGCGCGCTCTGCTGAGCGCGCCCAGCGTGCAACGGGGCCTGGTGGCGGGACCGGGCCCCCCACCTTTCGTGGCCCCTAGGAACCGCCCCCCCCAAGGCTAGAAACCCCCTGACTTCTCTAAATCCATTCACACAACCCCCCTGTCCGGGCACGCACTGACCGGTAGGGCAAGAAAGGTCGAATCACTGAGTGGGTGGACAGGCGGGAATGTGAGGGGCCACCCCACGAGACCCCCTGAACTGCCATAGCCGGCCTACTCTCCCCCAGCTCCAGTTCTAGGGCCTGCGATTCCCACCCTACCCACCCGCGGGGCTTGTTTGCTGGTTTTTCCCGCCTCCTTTTCCCGCCTTCTCCGAGCTGTCCAGGAGGGCAGGGCCGCCCTGCCCCCTCTGCCCTGTCTGCTCCTCTCTGGCCAGTCTTGGAGGGCACACATCGACCCATGTTAGGTACCTACAAAGCTCTTGGGCAGGGTGCTCAGAGCTGGAGGGCTCAATACTGGTCAAGGTCGACCCTTTGGGCATTCTCCAGGAGGGTGAATTCTTGCTTGGGGAGACAAGAAATGAATGAATAAAGCTAATCATTTCAGATGTTACCAATTACAATGAAGAAATGAATGCTTAAGACAACAGCTGGAGAGTGATGGGTTGGCCATGTGGGGGTGAGGGGTATATTTTGGTTAAAGTGAATGCTGTGGGCCTCCCTGAGCAGATACCATTTCAGCTGAGATGAGAAAGGACTGCGCCGTCAGTCATGGGTAGCCCACATCACAGGTAGTAAGTAGGTAGTGACAGCCTACCCAAGTTTGTGAAGCAAATGAGATCTTCCAAATTGATCACACCTGCTGCAGGAAGTTGACCTCCTGGCGAGAGCCTATTATGTTTGTACCTGCGGTTGCAAAACAGCACACCCCAAAGAAGGAATACACTCTTCACTTGTGTTTGGTGCAGGCCGCAACCCCAGGTTGCTTGGATTTCTGAAGTTACCACAGAAAGAGGTGTCTGGCTTTCCCTGCAAAAAAGATCATGAGGGAAGGTGAGGCAGAGCCCCATTACTCAAGTCATTTCAAGAACGTGGGAGAGGTTGCTTGGGTAAATAATGAGGTAATATGGATAGGTAACCATGCCAGACATCACTGAAAGCAGCTTACAAACCAGTTAGAGAGACAAGATGTCGATGTCCACAAACTACGTCCTATGTAAAGTGAAGGACACAACAAGGACCATAAGTAAGGATGGCCAGTATCTGGAAAATGGACACTTCCTAGTGCTTCTTCTGATTTGGTGTCTTTTCCACTTTGACACTAACCCACCCCCAGAGACCAGGAATAACCCCTAGTGTGCAAAGGGTCTCAATTTCCCTTTTGTAATATGCTCTTAAAGATCATTCAGTCATGCGCCTCCCCAGTGGCGCAGTGGCTGAGCACTGGGTTGCGAAGGTGCCCGCAGCCTCTGCAGCGCCGGTTCGATCCCTGGCCGCAGGGCGAGGGTCCCACATGGCACGCAGACCTCTCCTGCCGCCCGCTGCTCCCCTCAGCAGTGTATTTCGTCAGTCTGCCTGTTCTGCTCTCCGCTCTGGCTCTGGTGAATTCTCTCACCCTCCCGTGCTTCTGACAGTGCTTGTATAAATAAATAAATATTTTTTTTTAAAAAAGGTCATTCAGTCATTCAACAAACTTTTCTTGACAACCCACCGTAGTCTGATCCAGACTTTGAGTTCAGCTGCCATTGGTGGACACAAACACAGAGACAAAGAGCCATGGGGGGTGGGGGCGGATATTCTATCTAATGGGGGAGACGAAGACAGGAAGAGGACTGTTGGTTGTGCAGGGAGTTGGTGCTTCATGACAGTGTCTGTGGGGTTTTTTTTAAAGATTTATTTATGCATATAAGAACTGGGGTACAGGCCAGAGTGGGGAGCAGAACAGGCAGACTGAAATACACTGCTGAGGAGAGCAGCGGGCAAGTCAGGAGAGGTCTGCTGCGCCATATGGGTAGTTCCCTGGCCTGGGATCGAACTTGTGCTGTAGTAGCTGCAGATAGCTTCATAGGTTGCGTCTTAACCCCATGAGCCTCCAGGGAGGCCCAACAGTGTTTAGATGGAGCACACGATGCTTTGCGCATCTTCAGGATATACCAGATTTTGTGGCCTGGCTACATCTATAATTTTTTTCTAACACAGACTGGTATAAATATACAGCCATTATAATGACAATGGTTGTCTGTGAATCACCCGAAACCATGTGTGGGCCCTGAGAGGTGTGCATACCACATTTTGGGGCTACCTGATAGGGCAGAAAATACCTCTGGGCTCGTCCCCAGGCCTCTGCACCTGTAAATGGAGCTCATAATGCCTACCTCATCAGAATGGTTGGAAGAATTCTTCAAACCCAGGTCCCTATACCCCTGGCATGATGGCTGGTATTCCCTGTGTGGCAGGAATATCGGGGTTTTGTGGTTGTTGTTTATTTCCTAGAAAAACAACAACGATAACCCACCAGTCTGCCATTGCACAAAACAGTGAGGACCCTGTGGTCTCCAAGCTGCCGCCCACCCTCATACAACATCCTTGCCTCCCTCCTGGCATTGGAAACTCCTTCCCGGAACTCTGGCTGGATGATGTCACAGACAAGTGACCTCACTGCAACCAAGGCATGGGGGAGGGGGAAGGATGTTCTTCTACTACCCCAACCCCCCATGTCTGTGGTGAAGTCTATCGAATTAGTGCTGCCCAAGGATGCAATCTACCTGGCCGGCTCCAGCATAAAAGGGGAGGTGGTGCTAACCCTGAACAGTACACTTGTGGACCCCATAGTGAAGGTGGAGCTCGTGGGAAGGGGTTACGTGGAGTGGAATGAAGAAATTGGGGCATCCCGTGACTATAGCAGAGATGTTATTTGCAACAACAAGGCTGACTACGTGCATAAGAAAAAGACGTTCCCAGTGGCGGGTAAGGCCAGCAGCCAGCTGTAGCCGAAACGGGAACCTGGGTCTGGAAGGGAAACCATCTTAGGGATCGATGAACCCCCAGGCAAAGAGAAATGGACAAACCCCCTAGGAGGGAAGCCATGTAGAACAATGACCATCAGATACACCTAACACAAAAATAACAAAATATATAAAGCTAGCCAGAGCCCAGATACTCAAAATGAAGTTTCAAAGAAGTCCCCTTGAAAAATGCCATTCTCAACCCAATAACCCCTTTTGGGAGGTCCATACAAACTGTTCCTGTGATTTTACCCATAAACATCATCCAGTGAAACCCAAGGAGTTCTGTGGTCATGGGAAAGAGTCTGGGGACAGAAGACAGGGAAACCCATTGTGGGAAGGAATGAGTCATCTCTAACTCCACGATTCAGATCTAAAGTCTAGAGAGACATATGTCCTTCCCAAAATGTGTTCATGGAGGTGTTTCTGGGTATTCCATGACCAAGTTGAACACTTGGTCGATGTTCAGAGTTTAATTTTAGACTGTAGATAGGGCGCTCACAGAGTTTCCTCAAGATGGGCTATGAACCTCAAATCTGGCTGGCCATGGGATTATGCAGGAAAGGCAAGGCAACTTGCTGGACCTTGACATTCAGCAATTATGTCTCTGTCCCAGTTAAAATGGGAGTAGGACTAAGTCCTCCCTCATAGGATTGTTCTAAGGGCTTCGTATGTAAAGGACTTAGGATAGTGCCAGCTATACAGTAGGTGCTCACTCAGAGTTAGTCCTTTCAACCAAAACACTCCCCAGAATTAGGTAACACCCTTTCCCATCCCCAAGCATTTTCCCCAGAAGCTTCAACCTGAAGCCTGGCATGGGTTCACGCGCTCATTTCACACACAGCACTGTGCCAGGAGCTCACAGGAACACAAACAAAACAGACAGAGGTCCCCCGAGTGCTTGGGGTTGCATCAGGTGTGGAGGACATGATAATAAAGGGGTTTTGGAGAAATGCAAGAAAAATAAATAAATGGGGAGATCACAGAAAGGGGGAGCAGTTGAGTCCCACCCTGGTCCTCAGTCACCTCTCAATCAAATATTAAGCACTTACTGTTTGCAATGCATTGAAGCCCAACATCTGTGAGGACAGAGTTATTTGCTTGCCTTGCTCACTGCTGTGGATACTGCCTAAAACAACCTCTGGCACACAGTAGGTGCTCAAGATTGTTGAATGAATACGTAGCTGAACTGTGAAGGCCCAGAAGTGAGCAAATCCTCAGCCACATCACGCACCTGACCAGCTGAGCCCTAAGCCAATTTTTTTTCTTCTTGGATAAATATGTATGGGCCATGCAGGTCCCTAAAAGCACAGAGTTCAGCCAAGCTCAGGGACAGATCAACCAGGCCCAAAACAATCTCCCCACCAAAACAATAAGTGAAAGGAAAAAAATTCTAGAACCTTCTGATGGCATTGGTGTGTTTTGCTTTCAGATAATTGGTTAAGTGCAGGCAGCCACACCTTTGACTTCCATTTCAACTTACCTCCCAGGCTTCCTTCTACGTTCATCAGCAAAATGGGCCACGTCTCCTACTTTTTGCAAGCTTCCTGCATGGGTCGGGAGCGCATCCTAGCGAAGAAGCGAATATACTTGTTGGTTCAAGGGACTTCCAACTTGCACAACGAAAAACCATTGCAGGTAGAGATGGGGAAGGAGCAGAGGTGGGACTTGTCCTCGAAACCGCCCTGCAGGCAGGGGGAAAATAGGTGGGCAGGAGACAGAAAAGACCCCAATGGGGAAGTAAGAAAGATACTGGCAACTCCCCAGAGCCAGCAAGCTGACAAAAGGTGAATCAGAAACCAAGGCAGGAACTAAGGCAGCAGCTCTCATCTAGGGTTAATATGCCCCGCTGGGGAGACTGGGCAGTGCCTGGAGGCAGATGTGGCTGTCACCATGGGGAAGAGTGCTATTGGGTAGAACCCAGGCATACTGTTCAACCCCCCACAGTGCCCAGGACAGACCTGAATGTCGAGCCTGGGCAAGTCAAGACTGATGGAGACCCTCAGTGAGAGAGAGCCCTGGGCACTTGGTGCAGCTCTGGGCACTGTAGCCCTTAGACAATAAAAATGGTCCCCGATATCCTCTAAGAAGCAAGGAAAGGGGGTGGCCTCAGTATCAGGGAAAGGAAGGGCAGGTGGCTTGGGTCCGTCTCAATGGAGAGCTCATGAAGGCCAATTGCAGAGACGGAAGTCAGGGAGGGTGGAGCATCATTGACCAAAGTCACTTCATCTGGCTGGGAACTCATTTGTTATGAGAGCCTTGTGGCTGGGAGGGCTGGCTTTTCACTGTAGATGGCCAGTTAAAACCCCTGTGCCCCATCTACCTGCTCTATGGCCCTTTGCAAATTATGTTGCCTTTCTGTGTCTCCGTTTCCTTGTCTATAAAATGAGCTCATAGATAGAGCCTGCTTCAAGGTGGCTGAAGGACCAATGAGTCGACTGAATGCAAGTCTGGGGCTTTGCACAGTGCCTGGCATGGGTTGGGGATGGTGGTGTGCCCCATAAATCTTGTCGCTGGGGGTGTTGTTATCTGCTTAACAAGGCTGATTGCCAACCCTGCCAACCTCATGGGATGATCAGAAAGATCCCTGAGAGAGGCTTGGAGGTAGGTTAGCCCTGAGAGGATGAGCAGGCCTAAATTCAGAACCACTTGGCTACCTGTGTGACCTTGAGCCGCTGATTCCCTCTCTGGCGTGCCCCTTCAAAGCTGATCTGGCTGCAGATTGCACAAGGCAGGAGTTGGAGCAAAAACATTAGCATGGGGTGGGACCAGGTTTCAGATCTCCCTGCTGGCACTTCCTTAGCTGGATGTGTTACAGGACAGGGAGAGGGGCAGCCCAAACCCTGCAAACCTGCCTATTCTAAATGGGTTCTGCCATCCGCTGCATCAACACAAAACATATAAGACTTTAATGGGAAGGAACTTTAATAAAACTAGGAAACAATACAGGAAAGGCAAAGAATCTAGTTTCTAAATGAAGCACCCAAAGTGACCCGTCCCCTCATGAGTAAAAGTCCATCCATATGGGATCGGCCCAGAGCAAGACCCCAAAGCCTGCCACAAGTCTAAAGCATCTTCCAGTGGGGACCCACAGAAAAGGGCCAGAAACAACCAGACAAGCCCGGAAGGAAAAGAGCAAAATCAAAATCAAGATAAAAGCTGCCATTGTCACCTCCCCACGGGTCTCACCCACATCTGTGTCACCCAGTCCACGACCAAAAGACAAGTGCAGTTTCTTCACGTGTCTCTAGGCTCCATGCGCCTCCTCCAGGTCTCCTTCTGGCTCCATCTTGCTTCCTTCCTTCCTCAGTCAACCTCTGCAGCCTCTTCTCTCCCTGCTCAGCTCCACCCTCCATTTGGGTGGGGCAGGGAACCTGGAACCTCCCCCTTTCCTGGGGACCACCCTGTTACAGATGGCCTAGGGCAATTAACAGCACCTCAAAGAGCCTAATCCATACAATGGGAATAAAAGTGAAACTACTTGCCTCTTTAGGTGCTTGGGAGGAATGGTAAAGCACTCAGCTCATTGTCTGCAGAGGAAATGCCCAGTAAGTAGGAAGAACGCCATTCCCCTAGCAACAAAGGGAGTTGTCGTTAAATTTTGAGAGTATGAAAACACTTTGTTTTTCAAGTATTCAGTATTGCTTTAACCACAGTGGTTAAAGGTGGCCTTTTTGAGAAAGTGACATTTTAACAGAAAATCAAAAGAGGAGAGGAAGAAAGCCATGGGGATATTTGAGGGTAGAGTCTTCCAGGCAGCAGCCATAGCACGTGCAAAGGCCCTGGGGCAGTACTATGCCTGGCATGTTGGTGGAATCACAGGCGGTCTGCAATGCTGGAGCAGAGTGAGCAAAGGAGAAAGAAGGGAGGAGGTGAGCAGAGAGGGAAAGCGGCAGACTGCACAGGGCTGGGTAGGGGTTGGGGAGGTTTGGGCCTTTCTTCTGAGGGAGAAGGGAGACCTGGAAGGTTGTGGGCAGAGGATGTGGGGGTGGGGAACCTGACTCCTTGCTGCTTTTCAAAGGATAAATGTTGGGGGCAGGGTGAGAGCTAGAGCTGGGGAACCAGGACAGAGGTTACTTCTCTGATTAGGTGAGAAATGACGAGCTTGGCCAGGTAGAAGCAGAGTCTTTCTCTGAGTGGCCAGAGGGGAGTCAGGTGGTACCACCCCTCCACTACCCTCACAAGGCCCTGCCCTGTCCCCTCCCTGCCCTTGTCTCTTCCCTTTCTCCCCCTCACCCTGCTTCAGTCACACAGGTCTCCTCTTTGTTCCTTCCACATGCCACATCCTGTCCCAGGGCGTTTGCACTGGTTGTGTCCTCTGCCTCAAACACCGTGAGACAAACTTCCTATCCTTCCTCGTTCTTCAGATCTTTACTCAGAAGTCATATCTTAACTCACCTGCAGTGCTGATGGGAGCCATATAACCCTATCTATCCAAATTAATGCCCCAGCCATTCTCTTCTAGAAATTTCTCTTATTGATACAGTTTCCCAGATGCAGCATTGTTTGTAAAGTGGCAAAAAATTGGAGCCAGCTTAAAATGTCTGCTACTAAGGGAATTGTTAAAAGGAGAAATACCCAGTCC